AATTGAATTTATTTCCGGCACCTTTGGCTTGCCGGCATTAGTCCAATCACATGACCATTCGTACCTATGCTTTTCGATAGGCATATAGAATGTGAACTGAGTTTACAACGTCACGTGATATCAACACAGTAAATATTTATTTTGCAAACAAGGTTCGCGTTAAAGAGGATGCAGATGCAGGGAGTAACTTATTGAATAGAATAATTGTGGGTAGATCATATTAGATATAGAGTTTGAGATATTTTATTAGATATTAAAATATTTTAAGACGTATGATTATAGTGCGTATAGGACAATATACTTACGTGTATGATAGATAATCAAACGATCAAAATAATCAATTGCCTGAATTTGTATCAAAAGTATGTACTCGAAGCGACCAGGGCGGCCTCAAAAATACGGGTCATGTGGGTGGCGTCACTAGATTCAATATGCATAATATAACAATAGCATTATAGATCCAGTACTACGTACTAATTCGTCTGCTACAACCAGTGTTGTTAATAAACATTGTTCACTAAATTTAATGGACAAATAAACGAATAAACAATATTTATTGATTGTTTAGTTGTTTAGTGTGGCACAGTATATATTTAACATTGTTAACTGTGGCACAGTATGCATTTCCCATTGTTAATTACTATTGTTAGATAATAATCAATGAAAAAATATAGAAAAATTTTTTTTATCGAATATTGTTTATTTCTATTCTTTATTATGTCACATTTAGGTGGTAGACCCAAACATCGTTTAACTGAACATTTTCTTGTACTAGATGAGAAAGCTAATAGCACCAACAAAGCCGCTGTTTGCAAATATTGTATTGATCATTTTGGTTTTCAACAGGCATGTTTAATCAGTAAGGTTACAAATGTTGTAAATTCTTGCTTAGTACATCTTCGTAAATGTGAAGTTTTTGCAAGTCAATATTCATTTAAAAAAATAGATCAAATCCTTGTATCTACTGCAATATTAAAAAAAAAAGAAACATTAAAATAAAATAGACCTGTTTCACAAGAAATTAATTGTGATAGTACTAATAATAGTGATTCCTCACAGTCATTTGTAACAAGCTTTAGTTCTATTACTGTTACAAATCCAAATCTGAATTTAAATTTAATTCGATGATTTAGTGATAAAGATTAATATACATTTAATATGTTGCTTTTTCATATGATAGTATCAAATGGTTGGGCATTTAAATAGGTTGATAATCCAGAAACAAAGGCTTTTTTTTCGTGGCTTGGTAAATTTATTAAATTACCAAGTTGTCAATCATTATCAGATCGAATTTTAAAAGATGTTACAAAGGAAATTACACAAGTACAAGTTGCAATGGTCCAACAAGATTCACATGGT